CTTGCTTGATTCTAGATACAGAGTTATCATTCAATGGAACTGGTAACTTGAAGCAACTATGAACTGTCATAGCATTGTCTAATAAGTCTGCTGCAATTCCCGTAGTAGCTGTAGATACTGTTGTTTTCCCCATGCTGCTTATGAATCTTGTTATAACCTTGTACAGAAATGTTTTACCTGTGCCTGCAGGACCGTCTATAAATATCAGCTTACCATTCTTATCTAGTGACTCTATCACACCATTAAAGGCTTTCTTTTGTTCAGCATTTAACATGTCTATGTCTTTATTAAGTTGATCAAGATCAACATCACTTACAATCTCATCACGATAGTTAGAAGTAACCCTATCGGGAAGACCAAATGTTTCAAGTGACAATCCTTGTGTCTTAAAGTATTCTTCAAGATCACAGAGCAATCTTCCTTCTTTATCATCTTGTATATCTTCAGTCATATCATCAAAAAATCTATTGTACAGTTCTAAAGGATTACGTGGCCTATTAAAGATACAGATGAAAGCAAACAATTGCCTGATACTGCTCGGTGTTTGATTCATAGATGCTTCATCTAATACATTGACCCATTCATTATCATTAATAAATAGTCCTCTTGCATATGCAGCCTCTTCAAATGTATTGTATACAACACCGTTGTATGTTCTTAGTTCTTCGAATGATCTTGCCCCTTTTACATTAAGGAGTAGTATTCTAAGATGGTATCTTTCTTTTTCTGTAGGACTTACAGTATACATTCTTGTAATAACTTTATCTTGAGATCTCTGTCTTTTATGCCATTTACCATTTTTAAATACATAGTACAGAGGGATTTCTGTATAATAATACCTTCTTGCTTCTTCATCTTCTTCTTGTAATTTGAAATAGGCTGACAACTGTGTATCTTTGTCTAATTCATTTAATAATTGTTCTCTTTCAGCTCCTTCTTCAAATACAATCATCTGTTCTCTCGGCAAGTGTACTGGCAACCTGATTACAACATGTGATTTATTATGCATCTTGTATTCTAATAATCTCCACATAGCTTCTGGTGCACCGACATACCTTGTATTCACATACTGATCTATTTCATTGTTGTCATACATCCTAAGATTAGCACAGTCATATCCCTTATAAACATATTTAAATATGTATTTGACAGATTTAATTGATGTACAGACTTCAACATTGATGTGACAGTTATACTTCTTAAGTAAGTACTTATTGTATGGAACAACATGTATATTATTAATGGCTGTATTTTTATAATTATACCATTGTCCCTCTCTTCTTCTATAAACTGGATAGCCTTCTGTGATCTTTGTGTGTGTATTAAATTCTTTAGAAAATCCCTTTGTACATATTCCATTTTCCATACACGGTGCATTGGGATTCGCAGACCCACAGGGACCATGAATCATATGTTTCATAACCAAGTTATGTTATAATTGTCCGCCAAATTCATTTTATGACTCGTGTTATATTCTTGTCTATACACATCCAAGTTTTTTAGCGCCTCCTCATTAAATTTCTTTTTATCTTTCGATAACATAATGCCTTCTTGTTTGTCCATATGATTTAGGACTATTCCTTCCAGAAGTTCGATCGGTGCACAACCTATAGCCCTATGATATGATTGCATGTTGTATGCTTTAACTACCTTAGGCACACATTTTGCCCAATCAAATTTTCTGAATTCTGTAACCTTTCTATCTTATTGAGCCGTTCTATCAAGTCTGTTGTTTGAGGTTTATAAGAAGACCCATATTTACAAATGAAACATTTTGCCTTAGTATAATCTTCGCAAATTTTATTCTTGAACTCCTTACCATTATCAGACAAAATAGCCTTCGGTGCACCATACTTCCTTATTATATGTTTATCTACTAAATAGACTATCGTATTCGTGTCTTTGGTGTAAATTGGTACCACCTCCGCAATTTTAAAGAAACGATCTACCATCGTTACTACAAACTTGTATCCCTGTTCACTTTCTCTAAAAGGCCCTACTGTATCTATTTCCCAAATTTCTCCTATCCTGTTTGCTGGAACTGGGATGACATCCTTAAATTTCTTTTGTGGTTTTTCTTTTTTTGCAAATCTCACATTGATCCACATAATTGTCGATATCCTTATTCATTCTCTCCCAGGTATATTTTCGTCCAATATTATACTTTATGCTTTGTTTTGATTCGTGAACCAATACATCATGATAAAATTTCACCAGTTCTAACCCCCCCCCTCTCTTTTGATAATCTTCTTGGTTCTTAAACTAATCTCCATAACATTTTTGTTCTCTCGGTTGAACTCTCTGCTCAAATAATCTGCATAATTTGATGAGCCTGTGATATATTCAATATCAAAAACGTATTCCTGTAAGATTAATGACCATCTCGCCAGCCTTGCCTTTACATTTCTCGACTTAAATAAATATTTAAGAGCCCGATGATCTGTTTTTAATGTAAACTTCCCTAGCAATAAATATTCACGAAAATGTTGTACAGCTTTAATTACAGCTAATAATTCTTGTTCTGTTGTAGAGTAGTTCTTTTCTGTTTTTGAATGAAGCGAACTATAATACCCGATTAGTTTCTCTTCCCCTTAATTACTTGTGCCAGTGTAGCACCACATCCTTCACTCGACGCATCCGTCGTTAATACAAACTTGTCTGTGACACTCGGTATAGTTAATAAAGCGGTCCTTTTCATCGCTTTCTTTAATGTATCTTTTATTTCTCTCCGCATTTCTCCAGAAACTCTTCTCTTTTTCTCCCTTAAGTCTTATTATATCAAATAATGGGCTAATTATTTTATGACTCCCTTCAATAAATTTAGAGCAGTAATTATACAATCCCAATAAGGATTGTAATTTCTTCTTACTAATAGCAATTGGTAATTTTTCAATACTCTTGACCCCTTCTTTATCCACACTCACCCCTTCTTTCGAAATAATATGACCCGATACTTTTAAAGATGATTTATTGAACTCACATTTTTTTGTTTAACTTTAAACCAACCACCCTAAGTTTTTCTAACACCACCATTACATGTTTTTATGTTCTTCTTCTATCTTACTATAAATCAGTAGATCGTCAATATATACTACTACAAATTTAAAGAGAAATTTCTTCAATATGTTGTTCATCGCCCTATGAAATGTAGCTGGCCCATTAACCAGTCCAAAAGCATCTTCACAAACTCAAATAATCTTTCTCTACAGGCAAAGACTGTCTTCTCAATATCTATGGGTGTCATATTTATTAAATGGTAGCCCGATTCCGTACCTAATTTCGTGAAGTGTGTTGCTCCCTCTAACGCATTAATAAATTTTTCTACACGAGGCATCGGATAGGCATCTTTAATGGTAGCATCATTTAACCTTCTATAGTCTATGCAAAGTCTATGTTCCCCATTCTTCTTTGGAACTACAATTATCAGACTCCTCCATGCGCTTTCACTGGGGTGAATTATGCCCAGTTTCAGATACTCTTTTACAATCTTCGATAAAATTTCTTCTTTTGCTCCTCCTAGTTTATACAGTTGAGATAAAACAGGTTTGTCATCGTTAGTAATAATCCTATGATGTCCTATGGCGTTTCCTTTTATTATATGTCCTGACCGAATTTCCATCTTATCATTTCCAAACTTTAAATCAATCTCATACCTATTCAGTAAGGCATATCCAATAATGCACGGCAGCGTAGCGTTATGTCTCTTGTAATAATAAAAATGTCTTCAAAAACGAATCTTTCGATATTAATCTTAATTTTGGCTTCGCCTATAATACCTATCTTAGACCCATTTGCTGCTCTAAGTTGTAGTTTGAAACGATTTATTACCGCATTCTTTGGCACTACTTCTGGTTTAATTAAGTTCACCTCTGCACCCGTGTCGATTAGAACTTTGAATTGTGCATCTGAGCCCAGTGGTGTAGCTGTTTTTATCGTAACTCTCTTCTTGTTCTTGTTTAAGAGCGTATAATTAAAAATAAATTTATTGAATTCTTCTTCCTTGAACTCTTCATTCTTCTCAATCTGCACCGACCCGACTTCTCTTAGATTCTTTTTTTTTCTACTCAAAGCATTATTACGAAAATTGTTAAACTTACATTGTGCTACGACAAGGCCCTACTGTCCGCAAATAAAACACTCAATCTTCCTGTTATTTTCTTTCTTAAAACCCTTTTGCTGCCAAGATTTCTTTCTCACTGCATCTATTTCCATTGGTGCCCCACTAGATACCTCCATGTACCTCGGCTCCTCCACTGTCTTCACATTCCTCAGAGCTCTGTATAAATATTCCCATGATAAGCCATCTTTATTATTGACTAGTACGATATTAGCTAAATTGCATGGCAGTTTTTTTAACACAAGAGCAATCAGAACGTCTTCTGGGACGATGCCCTTCCTAGCCATCCTATCCAGATAATTGAGAATTGATCCTCCAGCGAATTTAAGTGTTGATAGTTTATCAGTACTGGCTTTAAGAGCTATATTACTAACAAATATCATCCCAAATGACTTCAATATCTCTTCAAAGCTCAATCCCAACGGCTGTGCTACCATCCAATCCTTTGCCTCTTCCCCAAGAGACATCTTGAACATGAGTATTAGCTTACCCTCACCGAGTTCGTTCAATCTACCCACCTCCAACAAGTCCTCTATGAACTGTTGTGGGTCATCTTTTTCTTCATTTCTTAATTGAAGAAAAATTTTATCATAAGTCGCCATATTGGTGGTATTAAACATGGGTTTATTTATTATAAATTATTTAACTCACAACATGTCAGATATCTTTTGATATGAAGGTATCTTTGACATGTGCCGAAGCCATTCCTACAATAATAATTGAAAAAAATCCAAATAAATACAGCCATGTAAATTTTTATTTAAACCCGATTTGTTTGTTATCTTTCTTATTTTACGTTTATTGTATTGAAGAAGTAAATTTTTTTGCTGGTCTTAACGTTTTGACGCGTACTGTATTATGTCTAGACTTTAATTAAAAATTTGAAATTCGGTAAAAAGGTGGCAACAATTTACAATGATTGTTGAAAAGACTATGGTAGTTTAGGTGAATATAAATATGTTTACAAAATTGTTAATCACAGCAAATAGTTTAAAGATTTGGCCACAGCAGTTCGCACAAATACCATTGAAGGAACATTGTCTGGCTTAAAAGCTTTATGATGTAGAACTTAAAAAATTATTTATTTATATCTAGTGAGATACGTGCTAATTAATAATGATAAAGATCATCTCATTAATAACTTGCCAAAAAAATTGATTGATCAATATACTAAAGCAGACTGTCTTATTGGGGCAGAATATGACCGTAAATTAAAAGAACTTTATTAAAAAAAATCAACGTTCAACACAAGAATAAAGATAGTAGTAGTAAATATTTGAAATATAGAAGATATGCTAAGATATATAGAAGAAAACTTAATTTTAGAACAATATATTAGAAACTGCAATTATAACAAAAAATATAATGTGGGGAAAAAATTGTGAACAATAGATAGTGTACTTGGCATAAAAATAATACTCACGATTCAAAAAAATTGTCTGGCTTTACAGAATCATTCGCCAGGACAGTTAAAAAGAGAGGTGGAGAATAAAAAAGAAAAAGAGGAACAAAGACATCGCTTATATAATGATAGAAGAACTATTTAAAAAACTCGATTTAGAACTAGATGGAAATGTAATTAGTTATACATTAAAATAATTATTGATACTGGAGCTATAGAAACTTTTTCAAGGAAAATAGTAAAACTAAAACAATTACAAATCAGAGAAAAGTAATTAATCGAGGTGTTAACAGCAAATAACCAAGCAATGTCTTTAAATGCAACAGTAAACATCAGATTTACAAGTCGGGGCATTAAAAAATAACTTTATGTAATGATTCATGTTTTTGATGATTTTACAACAGATGTTATTTTAAGTAATACATTTACTCTTTCGAACGAAATGGTGCTAGATTTTAGGAATAATGGTCTAGAAGTAGGAGGAGACGGATAGAAATATTGAAGGAAAATTTTTAACCTGAGGAATATAATGAACTAGAAAATTAATTTTATGAAAAATTGTGATTAATGAATATAAAAAAGATAAAAATTTAGAAATTAACCACTTAATTTGCGAGTACGAAAAGTACAACAAAAAGTTTTAAAATTTTAAAATTAAATCAGTAAAGTTAACAATCGAAACAAAATTAATCATTATACAACCAATGTTTATCAAGTTCTAAATAAATACAAAGAACAGGGATTAAGAGAAATACGTGGGGTTGCTAGCCAAAAAAATTATAGTTGAAGTTGTCGCCGAATTTTATAGCCGCGTATTTTTTATTTATAAAAGAAATGAAGATTCAAGATAAGTTATAGATTATAAAATCTATCTACGTATATTATAAAAAGATTAAGAATTTTTTAATTTAATTTCCAGCCCCTTTTTAAAATTTGTAAAATTCTTTGTATTTTTTATTAAAAAAAATAACATTAATTTTTAATTTATTTTCTATAAGCACATCACAAAATTTTTGTAAATTTTTCTTTAATTTTATCAAATAATTTAAATCATAGAATGGTGAACATTGCATAATTTAAATACTGATAAAGAGAGCATTTTATACTTTTGAGCAATACATACAAGCCCAAAGACATAACAAAAGTTGAGAAAAAGAGAATACACCGTGTTTATAATCCCGTTTAAAACGGGATAGCATTAGCTAGTCGATATATATAAAAAATTCAATTTAAGCATTTATTTTTTTGTCACGCGCTTTAAGCGCGAGTGTGTTTAGAATTATATCCGTTTCTCGGCGCTACTCCATTTTTCCACCCCCTCTCACTACTGCAGAAAATTAAAATGTTTATTTAAAAGATTAGTAGTTAAAAAGAATTAGTTCCTAAACATTTAAATTTATTTATAAAAGGCCATCCTTAGCGTCTTGTTATCGCTATATTAAATATTTTTTTTTCTCCATTTCCATTCATTTAGAAAAAAACTCATTTTCCTTTTATTAATACCGCCACATTTTCTATAAGCATGCTTAAGATGAGACCACGGATTTTCAATTTGGTTCGTATGTACTCCTTGAGTATTAAAAAACCCAACAGAGTGGTTTACCACTTCATGGCAAGATCCAAATTTAACAACGGTTCGGGGTAAGATAGATAACTATCAGTAACAATGATAGATCCGGGTACAACATGTTCTTCGAACATCTCCAGTATAGTCGAAACTTTTCTGTTAGGAACAAGCTTTAGAACAAAGTTCCTACAATTCCCCTCTCCTACACCCCCTACTAACCATTGTACGTTGGGTTTGTTGTCTAGAGTACTAGATGGGTTGGGTATTAACTCCCCATTACAGATAGCAGTTTCGTCAAACTGCACCCAATACCTTCTCCACCCATTTTAAGCATTTCTGGCTCTTGTTCGGATCTTACTTGCAAAATCAAATCTTTGATTTTAATGTAAGTGTTCTTCGAACAATCGCAGAAATCAATGGCCTGAGCTAGGTTTAATCATATACCCAGAAATACATTCCCCCAAGAATTTTTACAAATTCTATATTCAGGGAGGCCATTTTAGACCCCTTCTTTAGGCTTGGCTTTGATCTGCATGCTTTAGAAGAGCATCTGTAAGCATACCCGTCTATATACGTGGCAGCCACCATAATCCTCATTCTGTTATCACATCTCACACAATTTATTTCTTTTTTTATAATATTAATGGGGTCTGACAATTATAAAAAATGTGCTCCGCTGAGATGCGAAATTACTGAGGACTTACCTGCCTCAAAAGTACAGAAAGATAGTAAAACATCTTTACTGGAAGGAATTAAAAGTAGTTATGATACTCTAAGCACTGGTAATGCTCTGTATCATGACCAAAAAAAATTGGATAGTTTCTATTCCAAAACTCAAGTTTTGTTTGAAAAAGCAAATAAAATTTTTTATCAATTAGATAAGAAGAAAAGCAAAGAAATATACAATATTTCTAGGTACTCATTAAGCCTAATTGACTTAATAAAGCACCAACAATCACACATTAAGTTGTGTATGAAGGAGATGGGTACACAAAAGGAGAAGTATGAGTTACTTCAAAAACAAATAGATGATCTCAACAAACAAGTCAATAATAACGATGAGGTCATCAAAAAGGACACCGAGTCATTAGACAAGGTGAAGCAGGAAACTGCAATAAAAGTTTTTCAAACTCCTCAACCGGAGTTATTGATACCAAAAGAAAACAATATGAAGACTATATTGTTTGACAAAGATAGCCAAGGGGCACCCAAACCTTCGGCACTAGGAGCTTTCCTTGCAAAGGTAGCAAAAGCTTCCTGCAAACGCAGGAAACCAAAGAAACCTATCCGTCTATTACAGACAACTGAAGACGGATGGACAAAGATCATAGCAAGCTATGGAAGACCAATAATGGTCACAAAAGATAGTCTTCTGACTATACCAACGGAGGTCATGGATGACAACAGGTATACATCTTTAATGCCTGATTGGATCCTTGACTATAACAGGGAAGAGTCATCTGATGACTCTAATAAAATGAGCTATCCTCTAGCTAGACTGGGGATGCCAAAAAGACAGCAGAGGTCGAAACGCCTCGACAAAAGCAACTACCCTCAGATAGTATCTGAGGATGTTAATAAAAATCTGGAGTCGAAACGCTCCATACAAGACGGTACACCATTAGGATCCCAAGAAGGGATGGCTGTGGGTACAATAAAGGAGGGCTTGGAAGAGCCAATGGAAGTTACCCACGACAACGTATCGTCCGTAAAGGATAAGAACTCAATTAAAGTGGAAATAAAAGGTGAAACTGTAGCTTCTAGAGTAAACCCTGTAAAGGAGTCTAGAAAAGTTACAAAGTTTAATAAAAGAAAGGAGTCGAAACGCTCTGATAACAAGAGCTACCCTAAGGCTAATAAACCTAAGGATGCAATAATAGAGCCCAATTACATCACTAGGGCAAGCGTAATATTACGCAAATTAAAGAAAGTGATCTCTGAAAAAGGATCAAAAAAGGAGTCAACATTTAAAAATGTTAAAATAAAAAAATTTATTAACCCTTCTATGAAGAAGACTAGTAACAACAAAAAACCAGTAATTAAGAAAACTGGGGAAAAGTGGACAGATAAACTGTCAGAAAAAGAGCTCTTTAAGATTTGTCTTGAAGGCAAGAAACCAGTTGAGAACAAATATCGACTGGTGATAATAGGTGGTCTCCCAGAGGGAGAAAAACACAATAATATAGCTGCTTGGGCAGCTGCTCTAAAGGTCAAGGAATCTGATGTTCCTTTAATAAAAGATATTGGTGGAAACAAGGTGTTTCTAGCAAGGATCAATGTTATTGAGAAGGTGGTGTCCCAAATAACTAAGATATCTTTAGAAGCATCTCTAATTTCATCTGATAATGGTATAAGAGCTTATATAGCTCTTAATTACAAGGATATTGTTAACAACTTAGTTAACATTCAAAAAAGTTGGAAGAATTTTGTGCCTTTACAAAAATCTATAAAAGTTATTTTAAAAGAATTAAGATCTCTTAATACTGTTAAAATTAAAAAGGTTGCTTTAGATGATGAAGCTATAGAAGAGTTCAGAGGACAATATGATCCCTGAAAATAAAATTAAAAATATTGATTTTTATAAATTTACTCTAAGAAATTTTAAATCATCTTTATTTAAGCTTCTTAGAAGCAATAAAAGTATTAGTATTAGTAGAAGGTGTAAACTTCGAAAATCTAAATTAAAAAAATATCCATTTACACGTGGATACAAAGGCTTAAAATCATTCTACATGATTAATTTTAAACAAAAGCTTAAGCTTTATAGCTTACAAAAGAAACTCTGCTTGATTAAGGCCATGGCAAGCCATCTCAAGGTATCAGAGTTACAAAAGCAACTTACAAGAATAGACCCTGTTCTCCAGGATTGTATTGTAAGTAGTAAAAGACATCGCAGAGGCGATACAAAATTTACCTATCTTGCTGTCAAGAAAGGTATCAAAAGCCACGTCATCAATGCTCTCAAACAGATGAACATTGATGTGCTAAAAGAAAAGCCTGTATATAGACAGGAAAACAGGATAAAGACAATAAACAATGCTAAACTTTGTAGTCTTAATATCAATCATCTTTATGGGAAGAAGGAGGACTTAGAGATCCTTTTGAAAGTAGAGAAACCAACAGTTTTATGTCTACAAGAAACATGGAAGAAATCCACGGGTATTGGAAGACTAGAAAAGTATATGGTGGTGGAAACACCAGCCATAGGTAAAAATAAGCCAGGGTTAATGACACTGGTGAGAAAAGGAGGAGCAATAAGATGCTCTAAGAAAGGTAATGATGACAACATCCTACAAACGGTTGTTGAAATCAAGACAAGTACAGGATGGACAAAGATACTTGTTATCAATGTCTATGTGCCACAAGAAAGAGAGCTTAAGCAATTAACTCTCGTAAATGTAATTAATCTACTTAATGTAGAGAAAAATAAAAGATGCTATAAGGAGATTATAGTAATGGGAGATATGAACGTCAAAGATTCAACTCTTAAAGAAAAGCTTGTTGCTGGAGGATTAAATCCTCTAATCAATTACAACAGAGTTTCAGGAACTAGAATCCTGAGTAATGGTAGTGTCTCTAAAAGACGTATTGATACAATTTTTAGAGTACTGATACAAGATAGTGAGAAGATTACAATCTCACGAAGATGGTCTGTAGGAGATCATCTGCTACTTAGAAGAAAAATCATTCTTCCTTCTCCAATAGCAGATGACACTTTTACATACAACAGAAAAAAGATGGAAAATCCTCTTGTAGAAGAGAGATTAAGTAATCTTCTGAATAGTAAAATATTCACAATAGAAGAACTTCCAAGAGTTCTAAAAGAAGTCTGCATATCTACAAAGATATACGAAAAAGTCAAGGCACCTAAAGGAATGCCAATAAGATGGAGACATGTCAATGTCTACAAAAGATTTAGACACGCCACTAAACGTGTTCTAATTAAAAGATCTGAAGCTAATGTACAAATGTATACCATGCTCAAGAAAAAAGTAGAGGAAACCAGAGTAAAAGTTCGGCGAGAACGGGCCAAACTCTGGGCCTTTAAAGGTGTAAACCTTTACAAAAGTAATCGCTCCAGAGATTTCTGGAAGTGGCTAAAAGGATGTTCTAACACGTCAGTTAG